TAAGCCAAAACAAAGAGATCAAGTCCAAGGCAAGTTTTAAACTATGTTAAACTGGCACAGTTTCAGGTATAAATTCCAGATATCCTTCATTTTTGTAATTGGTCCTTATGGAATTGTTTTGAAGACACAGTTAGCATTGATTAGAGACTGATGGGAATATGGAGTTTTGTTTGTTTGCAGGTTCAGATGTGGCTCAAAGGGATGGATGCTTAGATGAGCAGTCAACAAAATACTTGGATGCTTTCAAGTTTTCAACAAAATAATTCACAGCTGGCAAGAACTGGCATTTTTGTCGGCTGGTTCTGGGTTTGTCTGCACTACAGAGCCTTTGCTACTATTTTACTGCCATGAATCTAGCAGTCTGTAGTGAAAACGCAATATAAGCTTTCAGGGGTCTTTTTTTAACCTGTAAACACCTCATGAACAATAAACTAAAGTAATAAAAACACTCGTGTGTTGGAATAGCTACATCTACACCAGGATTTTGCTGATACAGCAATGCTGTCATAACGTAGGGTAGACTAGACATTTGAAGAGAAGCCATTTAGTGATGAATGTGGAGACTTAATTATAATCTCTCCTAGAGGGGATCTCTTTAGATAATTATTTGTGTGTTGTTAGTATAGATCTCTGTTCTTGGCATCCTTTGGAAAAGCTCTGACTTCTGGGAACCTACATATGCTTCATTTAAAACTCAGAAGTGTTTTTAGCCAAAATTATCTAAAAAGGGTTTGGCCCCACATGCTTCCTGACTGAGCAGAGAACTGGAACTCCATGGCGTCTTTAACTTCCATCTTCACTTTTCATTTATTTCTCTTTTCTTCCAAGTTAGTTTTAATAACCAAATGATGGCAATAGTCTTTTTTTTTAAAAAAAACAATCTCCTGACTTTAACATATGTTTCCAAGAATTAAATATTTCTCATTTTTTCTGGAACCGGTTAGGAGGTCATTCTTTCTGCTGCAGTGGCAAAACTGGGAGAAGGACTGGATTTGGGGACTTAGGGAAGTGAGTTGTTCTTAACTATGCCAAGCACCAATGCATTTAATGCTTGGAGGAGAGCCACAATTCCCAGGGATGCTCCATTTGCTTCAAACTCATTGCTTGGGTTTATTCCCAAGTAGCCTCTAGTCTTGTGAGCCTGTGAGGGGGAGAAGTGGATCTGAATCCTCTCAGAGAAATGATGGAATTGAATCATCCTGGCTGAGGTTTCTAGTCACTGAACTGCTCTACTGAAGTGTCCTTATCTGGCTCCTACTGGAAAGTAGCTGACACTGCTGTGCTTCACCTGTTAAGCAACTTAAGGGAGTGAAGCAAGACTGTCGTTGCTCCAACACTCTTCTTGATATTCCTTATTGTGATGCTACATCTGACCACCAACAAGCTTCCAGTCGGAGTGGAGCTAAGTTACCAAATGGATGGTAAACTGTTTCATCTCAGCTGATTCTGAGCCAAAACCGAGACAACCCCAGCCTCGATCGTCGAGCTCCAGTATGCTGATAATGCAGTAGTGTGTGCTCTCTCATAAACAGACCTTCAGGCAATTGTCAATGTCTTTACCGAAGCATACAGGAAAATGGGACTGATGCTTAACATTCAGAAGACTATTATGTCTTCCATCAACAAGCTCTTAATGAGTAGATCCCAGCTTCAATTATTCAGATTTATGGTGAGGCTCTGGAGAATGTTGAGTATTTCCCGTGCCTCAGAAGCCATCTTTCACAGAAGTCTGACATCGATGAAGAAATCCAGCATTTCCTCAGATGTGCAAGTGGGATGCCTAAGGAAATGGGTGTTTGAAGATTGTGATATCAGATCTGAAATAAAGCTCATGACTTATCAAGCAGTCATGATCCCTAACTTACTGTGTGGAGCTGAGATGTGGGCAATGTACTGGAGACACCTCAAGTCACTGGAGAAGTACTATCTATGCTGCCTGCAGAAGATCCTTTGAATCCAGTGGGAAGACAGACACACCAAAATTAGCATCCTCCTGCAAGTGAACATGATGAACATTGAGGCAATGATTATCCGATACCCACTTTGCTTGGCCGGGCATGTCATTTGGATGTTGTATAGCTAGAACCAGACTGATTGGTGAGCATACCGCCAGTAGTGGCGGAAGTGCCAGCTGCGGTGCCCACTGCCAAGTACCCCCTGAGGCCATCCCAAGTACCACCAGGGGTACACATACCCCCAGTTGAAAACCACTGTCATATCCTATGACTTGGAGAGGTCTTGCATTTGCAGTGTCGCTATTGGGAGGGTAGATTGGGCCATATTGTATAGCTAGAACTTGGCTACACAATCCAAATTAAAATCAGTTGGAAACTGTGTAGATGGATTTTTTTAACCACCTGTGCATGAAGTCTAACTGACCTCTTCAACATAGTGTAGTTGGGAACTATTAGCTTTGAGATAACTACAGAGGTACATGCCCATGAAGCCTTAACTCTGCCTTATGTGAAGCAGGCAGTGACCAGTAGGTCATGTGTGCTTGTGCTGCAGCTGCATTTGCTGTGTTAGGTGGAGGGATTAATGGGAGCAGGCTGGCAGGTTGGTGATTGTGATACGAGACTTATTGGGAGGGCTGTACATCTCTGGGAGTAGTACGAGCTCATGGACTTTTCTTTGTAGTCAAGAGAAGGGTGCACATGAAATCTTGAGAGATCCAGTGCGGCGTGTTTCAGCACTGCACTGCATAGTTTTAGGACAGCAGAAGGGCATAGGAGTGTTCTTGCCATGGGGATTGTCAGCAGTTAGGTAGAAAATGAGTGCAGTCTCTGGGTTTTATGCTAGGTAAGTGAAAATACAGTGTTAGGTTGCATTGTGTGAGTAAAGGTGAAGAGGATGTGAAAGGCAATGGAGAGGCTTCAACATTTAGAGAGGATGTCCTTTCCATGTAGTATGCTGAGTATTCAGCTGTAAGGTAGGAGTAAGGAGCCCCTGTTCTGTACAGTTCAAAGGCAGAAGAAAAATATAGACATACAGTATTAGAGCTGTGTTGGGGCATCGCTAAATAAGGGCAGAATTAAGGTTGTGTGGCCATGTACCTGAACTCTATTTCCAGGCAACTGTTTCTCTGTGTTAATGAAACTTTTATCATTGAATTTTTCATTGCTTTTTTATTCAGTGAAAGAGAAATGTTTGTTGTTCTAGTCCATAAATAATCTATACAGTTACAGTTAACATGTAGGCTTGCAAGGGGGAGGGGAGGTTAGAATGAATAAATAGAAGTAGGGGGTGCTGTGCAATTCACTGCTGTTGTCCCCTCCTGCACACTTTACTGCAGGGGAAAGGGGATGGTGGCTGTACACTGAAATGCTTGGAGTCTGGTTTCTAGTAGGGTCACTAAGCATTATCTGTCCCCCCACACTTCTGCAGAATTTTAATCATGTGAGAGAAGAGTGGTTTATCTCTCTTTTACCCCAGCAACCCACATCCCCTCAAAATAATTTACCTTTCCTGTGTAACACCACCTTTTCCAGCTGACTCTTCCCTTTCTGCCCCATTAAGAAATTAGCATTATAGAATCCATTAGCCTGTAAAAATTTGCTCTTTGCTGTCTGGTGCCTTGTGTTTCTTTGTACATATGCCACAGTTGGCAGTTTACTGGAGCGTTGGACGCTTCCTAGGTTATACAGTTTAAACCACATGCTAATGATCTGGCTTCTACAGTCCCACCTTGCTGGACTCCTGCTTTGATTTGGCCAGGCCCCCTTCAGCCACACCTATGGCCCACTTAGCTGGCCTGCCCTCTGTGCCCCCTTCCTCTAGACAGTTTTCCTGCCACACATTGTTAGCATGTACCTTAATTTTTTATTTCCTGATTTTCTGAGGTTTAAGTTTAGGCTACCTTCAGGACTCCTTCAAGTCCTGACTTAGAGCTTGTACAGGTTATCAGGAGCAGGGGCACTTAGAGAGGCAGGGACTTACCTCCTTTCCATTCTCATATCCCGGCATGTACCTGATGGACAGGAGTTCAGAAAACCCTAGAGGGGCAAGGCCTACTAGATGCCACCAGCACACATGCACACACACAAGAGAGAAGAGTGTGGTGTTAAGCGTTTCTCTCTCTTGCTAATCTCCCACTCGCTCTGCCACCCACTCCATGTCACCTATTCTTTCCTATTCCTCCCACCCCAATACATCTTCCCTTCCTACCACTCCCTTTTCACTCCCAGCAAGCATTCAGGTGTGTAATGGATTCTCTTTTCAAAATAATTTGAGCACCCCCTGAATTTTTTGCTGTGCATTGTACAATATGACTTCCTCCAAGGAATATTGGGTGGTAAGCACTAGATGGAGAATGTGTTTGAGCAACTTAAATCATTCTGGGCCCAATCAAAGCCATGATTTGATCTCTCCTAAAATGTTGGTAGAACTTTTAGCCATAAGAAGCTCTTTATGAAGGGGTAGGTGAGGGTCTGCAGCTAGGGAACCCATGTTTGGAAAACAAGCCCTAACCTGCACCACTGCATTTTAGAGCAGTCCCTAAGGAAGTGAATTTCAGAGTACATAGGAAAATTGACCTTGACCTTCAAGCAGCAGACCTGGTGTTCCACTGTAATGTAACCTCATTAGGTAAGGACTCTCCAGAGGTGTCAGTTGGGGCATCTTAGTATGTATGTAACACAAATAATATAATAAACAATTTAACGCCTCATGTGATTTGTACTTCACGGGTTGCTGGCTGCTAATATGTTGTGGTGTTCTATAAATGGAAGCTCAATTCTTTAGGTCTTTGAAGTCAGCTGGGTGCATTGTGGGCAAAGCAGACTGCATGCAGTGAATTAACAGGGTCAGGGCCAAAAACAGTGCACTGGTTTTATCAGTGATAAGGGTCAATCAAAGCTTATTGCATCAATAATCAGGATCATAACAAGGAACCATAATAGTTTCTATATTTTAATGACAAAATGACACCTGTCTGATGTTTTTCCTGAATCATTAAACAGCATGCAAAAAGATTTTCTGATGAATAAATGTTATGTTTTTAGGTTTGTGAAAGAAAATGAATTTAGCTGAGATCTGTGATAATGCCAAAAAGGGGCGAGAATATGCACTTCTTGGGAACTATGACTCCTCCATGGTATATTACCAGGGCGTCATCCAGCAGATTCAGAGACACTGTCAATCCATCAGAGACCCAGCAGTCAAGGGCAAATGGCAACAGGTATGAAGATATATCTGTATACTCAGTGTGCTTCTGCTTCATGGTATATGTAGATTTTGGAAGCAATGCTGCATTGTCCAAGCTTTAAAAAATGTAGTTCATGCATATTTTTGCTGAGATGAAGTTTGTAACACTTAGTTGACATTTATCCAGCAGTGCTTTTGTGGCTTATTTAGAAGGGATTCTTAGTTTTAATTGGATCCATTTTCTTGTTTTCACATAGTTTGTCTTGCTAATCAGTGGTCTAATTGTGTGTGACTGCATATTTTGGAAATACAGTTATGCCAGTGATTTTCTTTTGCTGCCTCATCTTTTAACCATCTAATCTGCAGTGAGCTATGATTTGAGGGGATGCACTTGCATCATTAAAAGGACTGATTTAGTGGCAGTGAAACAAACTGTTAACCAGCAGTTGTTAGATTAGGTTCCCAGAATTCAAGTTGGTTACTCTGAAGCTGAGAACTTATAAACATCCCAGGTACCAGTTTAACTTCACTCACATGATAAGTACATTTGAATTTAGCCTGGGCTGAAAGTTAAGTTTCTTCCTAAGTGCTGCTGGATTTCTACTTACTAATCTGCCATGGCCCCCTTAAAGTGAATGGCACAAAATACCCTGACTTTCAGGGTGGGAAGCCTGAGCAGTTTGTTTTATGTCTTGATTTTTTACCTGCTCAGTGCTACAAAGAAATGTTCTCTAATACCAACAAATGAACGTTTGGAGGATATACAGACAAAACTGCTCTACAGAGTGCTAAGTAAGAGAAGATGGAGAAGATGCATCCCTTACCTAAAGAGAGAATGCCAAGTCATTATGTTAAAATTCAAATTGTTAAACATGTAATACCAGTTACAAGCATTAATTGTGTCCTCTCCCAGGTTTGTCTTTTTTGTCATGATAAACTTTGGGTTTTTCTTTGAGTTGAGCGAATTGGTATATAACATGGAATATTTGTCTAGCAATTACTTTAATTTACATAGTACCTTTTACAAAACATCTCTTGCCTGACTTATATTGACATCAATACAATTATATAATGTTTATTTTAAAATCTGCCCTCTAGCCACAAGAGAGAATACAAAACATTGGACCATGCCTGTTGACTTCAGTGGATTCCACAAAAATAAAGATTCCCTTTTACTTTTTTCTCTGCACTTGTTTAGTACCCTTTTTTAAAATGATGGGTTAGGAAACCAGGAGGTAATGTGTATAAGAATTTGTTTGTTCTCATGTTCATATTAAGGTAAATCATATTCTTTGACCTGAAATTCAGAGGATCATAGGAAGTTAGGGTTAGACCTCAGGAGGTCATCTAGTTCAACCCCCCTGCTCAAAGCAGGACCATCCCCAACTAGATCATCCCAGCCAAAGCTTTGTCTAGCTGGGTTTTGAAAACCTTTAAGGATGGAGCTTCTACCACCTCTCTGGGTAACCTATTCCAGTGTTTTACTACCCTCCCAGTGAGAAAATTTTTCCTAATATCTAACTTAAACTTCCCTTGCTGCAACTTAAGACCATTGCTCCTTATTCTGTCATCTGCTAACACTGAAAAGAGTCTAGCTCCATCCTTTTTCGAACCCCGGTTCAGGTAGTTGAAAGCTGCTATTAAATCCCCACTCAGTCTTCTCTTCTCTAGACCAAATAAGCCCAGTTCGCTCAGTCTTTCTTCATAAGTCATGCCCCCCAGTCCCCTCACCATATTTGTTGCCTTCCACTGGACTGTTTCCAATTTGTCCACATCCTTTCCGTAGTGAGGCGCCCAAAACTGAATGCAGTACTCCAGATGTGGCTTCACCAGTGCTGAATAGAGGGGAATAATCACTTCCCTTGACCTACTGGCAACACACCTACCAGTGCAGCCCAGTATGCTGTTAGTCTTCTTGGTAACAAGGGCACATTGCTGGCTCATATTTAGCTTCTTATCCACTGTCACCCCCAGGTCCTTTTTTGTAGAGTTGCTGCCCAGCCAGCTCCCCAGCCTGTACTGGTGCATGGGATTGCTCTGTCCTAAGTGCAGGACGTTGCTCTTGTCCTTGTTGAACCTCATGAGATTTCTTTTGGTCCAAACCTCCAATTTGTCTAAGTCACTCTGAATCCTAGCCCTAACCTCCAGTATATCTATTTCTCCTCCCAGCTTGGTGTCATCTGCAAACTTGCTAAGGGTGTACTCTATGTCATCTTCCAGGTCATTGATGAAGAAACTGAACAAAATTGGCCCCAGCACCTAACCCTGGGGCACTCCACTTGATACCAGCTGCCAACTAGACATCAAGCCATTGATTACTATTCTCTGAGCCCAATGCTCCAGCCAGTCTTCTGTTTACCTTACAGTCCAGTCATCTAGCCCATGCTTCCTTAGCTTGCCTGAGAGAATGTTGTAGGAGACTATATCAAAAGCCTTGCTAAAATCAAGGTACACCACATCCACTGGTCTTCCCACATACACCAAACCAGTCACCTCATCACAGAAGGCAATCAGGTTGGTCAGGCATGACTTGCCCCCGGTGAATCCATGCTGACTGTTCCTAATCACCTTTTCCTCCTTCAAGTGCTTAGAAATATATTCCTTGAGGATCTGTTCCATTCATGACATTCTCTTTTAAAAGATTGTCTACATACCCACTTAATGTGCTGAGATTTTTTGGTAAGCAGTATCCATGTGATGCACACATAACCAGAGAGTTCATGTGTTTTGCATCCAGAAGATAAAAAGGTGGCATGCACTGACTATGCCTTGGTTCATTTCCCTCAGTCAGTTCTTGCTAGAGATGAAGTTTCTTGTTGTCTGAGCTATGACCTCAAGAAAATTCTTTGGATCTATAATGGTGTCTTTGTTGTGACATGGATGTCAGTCTTGCCCTGTTGTAATGGGGACCGTACTAAATATAGGCACAGCCTCATAATGCCTTGACTCTTTCTGATCATCCCATTTTCGAGGAAAAGGTTCCACCTGTACATCCTTCAATTTCTGGATCCTCAAGGACAAGGAGACTGTATTACAGACTTATCTCCTGGGCAAGTCTCTGAAGTTCACAGTAGACTAGGTTTCTAGAACTCACTTAGGTATGTTTCTTGGGAGTCGATGAGCATGAGTGCAGACTCTAAAGCCCACATGACACCTGCACCTGCTGAGACTAAGACCAGCAAGAAATGCTCTTCAGACAAAATAAAGGCATAGGAAGTTCCAGGAACATATCCTCCATGAAGAGCCACTACAAAACGACATCTTCACCACATGACCTTCCCACCAAGGCTCTGAGCAGTTCACAGTAAAACTGGCATGCACAACTGCACTTTATGACTTGATACTGGAGTTTCAGAGAAGACTTTGATATTATGGAGTGCCTCTTTTACATTATAGGTCCTGGCTCCATTGACCTACCATTTTGTGACGGGAACACTTGTGGAGGCTCCTTTGGCAATGTTCACTGTAATAACTCATAATGTAGCACAGATCCTTAGGGGGCAATAACATCACCTCAACCAGTCTACCTGTGAGTATGCTACAGACTACTATGCAGCCCGTAAGAAGTTTATGCCACTGACAGGACATATTTGTCAGGAATCCGAGTTGTGGCAGCTGTCCACCTCATTTCCATTGGTAATGTCAGGACTCTGCGTATATAACGGAGTTGAGATTTCTTTTGGCTTAACACCAAAGCTAAATGATGATGCCATCTACCTCCTCCACTGAGTTAGACAATAGTCATAGCTCAAAATGTTTTCATAAGTGTAGTCATATGTTTGCTTGAAATGGTTGTAAATCATTGGCATGCTGTGACATATTGAAGTTATTATGTTAGATAATCCTTGCCTGAAAGGGAGCAACTTTGCAGTGTCTCAGTGGCACTTAACATGTACTAAACTGCTTGAACATGCATTTGCTTATGTTTTAACTGAACTTAGTAAGTGTTAAGTTGAACATGTGACATCTCCCATAAACACTCCCACAAGTGTGTCCTCAGCCTTTGATTTCCTACAGGAAGTCAAGAGTATTGTTCTGGAACAAATACTGAGACAATCGTCATCCCTCTCCAGGGCACCCTGCTCACATCGATTGCAAGGACCTTATTGGTTGTACTGGAGCCTGTCAGCATGATAAAGAAGAGAGAACTACTGACAAACCATACCGCTCCGTATGACCATGCCATACCACTCAATTGACAGCCTTACGTACTTAAGATTCCCAACAGCTTTCATCTGCTCACCTATCCTTGGAGCAGGAAGACATGCTGAAATCCTGGCAGCACATTCACTTGGTCTATAGAATGGATTGGCAGGCAACTAAAGTAGAATTTTTCTTTGTGTCATGTAAGAAAGATGAAAGATTCCACTTTCAGGATACTTTCTTATCCTTGGATTATACCTAAGTAAGGCAGTTTGCAACACAAACCAACAAGAAGTGTCATATCTTCCATTCAAGGCAGTGCCTGAGTCCAGAATCCCTATCCAGTGCCTTCCTGACTCCATAGATGGGATCAGAGTACAGAGTGATCCTTTTCTTCATTTGTTTGTGATTTCATGACTGATAATGGGAAGCTGCTATGAGACATCTGATACCTGGCACAGTGGATGAGATTTCCTTCCTGATGTGGTAGCAGTTCTTAACACCATGTGAAACATTGAGACTGTGAATACCTTCTAGAATGAAAACAGAAGGATGTATCCTTAAATTCAGTTTAAGTAAGCTAAGTGATAACTTTTGGCACCTGTCTGCCCTGAATGGTCAAACATTGTATTCCAGCTAGGGAAAAATTTGGTCTTGAAGGGCCTAACTAAGATATTTCTATCAGAAGAAGATTTGTTCCTGTTGTGGGATGTTATCTTAGTCTTGTTGGTTCTTGTTGGCCCTCCATTCAAAACAGCAGCATCTTGCTCCTTGCTGCAGTTCTCAATGGAAGATGTCAAAATTCTGCTAGCAGTCACCTCAGCAAGGAGGATAAGGGAGATCTAGAGCCCAATAGCGAACCCTCTTGCCCTTTCTCCTGCCTTACTTGGT